GCAGCATCTGGAGGCCCAGGGGCAGCTGCCCACACAGTGTGTGCGGTGCCATATGCTCACAGGGAGTATGACTTCTATATCATTGCCACTATTACCCGCTTCGTCAGTTCTGATATTGGGTTGATCCCAGACCACTCAGAGGTGGGGCCGGGCCAAGCCCTGGCCCCCTCTAATTCAGTCTTCTGAAGAGCCTCCTCACAATCTCTTCCTGGGTTCCTCGCCAGCCTTCTGCCTTCCAGATGAGCTTCCTTGCAAGCCCTCCCCGCAAACAACGTTTCCAATCACAAGTCAGCTGATGGAGACTGCAGCTAGTTCTCGGACCAAGAAAGTACTGGGATTGGAGACTTCGTGACAGTCCCTGGGGAATGTGGGCAGCAGAGGCGCAGCTTCCTCTGTGCCGGCCCGGCATGCCACCACCACCCATCTCCTGCCTCCCGAGCCACAGTCTGGAGGCCACCTGCTTCCGGGTTGACATTGGCTGCCAAGGAAGCACCCACCTCACCCTCCTTTATATACTAGTTCTCAGACTGGCATGGTGAGGCCCAGGCTCCATGGTTCCAACTGCTCACACATCAGCTTTCTTGGTCACTTGCTGGTGGGAGCTCTTTTGGGGACACTGGAAACCTTGGAGTCACTTGGCCCAAGTAGCTGGTCTCTCACTGCCCATCACAACTGGGCCCCCTCTCTGCCCTCCTCACCCCACGCTCACACTCACAGTCACTTGGTGCTGAAGGTCCCTGCAGAACTGGAGACTGCGTCCTCTCACAGCCATAGGCATATTCACCTACCCAGTTAAAAAAAGGACATTGTCGAGACTTACAGTAATTAGTGGTTTCAGCTTCGGTGTAATTTACATTTCAAATGGAGAATTATGTGGACATTTAGTTCAGTTCATAATTGAAGTGAGAAGCGCTATATCCAGTTCACACAGAAGAGAAGCCCACTCAATCCTGTCTTCCCGCCCAGGCCATGAGTTGGGAGTGGGAGGATGTGGAGTCAGTGGGCTCGGCCCCCTGACCATACCCTCCATGGGGCCGAATTGTTGGAATAGCTGACCTCCAGGCCTACACTGCCCATTGCCTTAATCCAAGTGGTGCCAAGTCACCACTCAGCCCAGTGGAGTGTGAGCAGAAGAGCTGCCTGTCATTCGGGTGAGGGCAGTGGAGACGCAGTGGGCCCCTAAGCTGAAATGGGTGGACTAAAAGAACTATGGGAACTTGAGGAAGGGTGGCATTCCTATACCTTGACTGGCGGAGTGCCTACATGGACAAGTTTGTCTGAACTCGTGAGTCAGCACATATTTTCTGTGAATCATACCCAAATAAAACTGATTCCAAATGATAGAAAATCAGCTGAGCACAAGAGCTTTGCAAACTGTAAAGTGCTATGGAAAGAGAGGAATGATTTGTGAGTGGTCTGGCTATACAATGTGAGTGTAGCTTTTGGTGGCACTCCTCAAAGGGTTTTACCCCAGTGGGCCATCCGAGACCGGCCCAGAGTTTACATGGACGGCGGGGAAGGGAAGGGGGACACTGAGCAGGAGTGACACTTTGCCGTCTTCCTTGCTCTGGATGAGGAGGCAGGAGCTGCCAAGGAAACAGCTGTGCATCTTTAGGGTATGAACTGCCCTCAGGGGAGGGTGAAAGGGCATCTGCCTGGGCAGGTCCCGCTCCTCCATTTACACTGCCTCTCTGTCTCAGCTTCCTGTGTCTTCCCACCTGTACTCTGCCATCTGTGGACACCTCCCAGAATAGGACCCGATGCCCCCTCCTCCTGCGCTTGCCTGTGCCACAGCCCCTTGGCCCTCGGCCTAAAGCCTGAGTCCGTGCAGTATGTGGACAACTTCTAGGGCTTGGCCTCCACCCTCTGGCCACCTTCCCAATCCTCAATACCCAGGTTTCCATTCCTGGTTACTCTGCCTCCTCACATGAGCCTTCACAGGCTCCCAGGAGAGTCTCAGAGCAGGTCAGCTCTGCTGCTGCCCTTGGCTGCCTGGAGCCAGGAATCATGCAGAGATGCATGCAGCAGTGGTCGGTAGGGTTATGGTTGCAGCAGCCACGGGGTCCCTGGGATGAGGATCCTAAGACTTGGAAGCAATACAGGCCCAGTGAGGTCAGCCTGGCTTGAGGGAAGTGGGCCAGGGCTGTACCTCCCACACCACCACTTCTGGTAGCCCCCCTCACCCTGGGGCCTCTGCCAGTGGTTGGCATGTCGTCCTCACCAAAATTGCATTGGCAGCCCTCATAATCCCACGCAGCAGACATGACTACTATCTTTGCAATGTAAGTAGGAAACTGATGCATGAAGAGGGGGTGGCTGGTGGCCAAAGTTCCAGGGCAGGAATTTTTTTTTCCAATCAGAGTTGACATTTAGTGTCATTTTATATTAGTTTCAGGTATATGTCATAGTGTTTAGACACATATAATTTATAAAGTGATCCTCTGATAAGTCTAGTACTCATCTGACACCATACATAGTTATTAGAATATTATTGACTATATTCCCTATGCTGTGCTTCACATTCCCATGACTATTTTTTAACTGCCAATTTGTACTACTTAATCTCTTCGCCTTTTTTACCCGTCTCCATAACCCTTCCCATCTGGCTTGTTCCCTATATTTATGAGTCTGTTTGTATTTTGATTGTTTCTTTTGTTCTTTAGATTCCACATATAAATAAAATCATATGATATTTGTCTTTGTCTGACTTATTTACTTAGAATAATACTTTCTAGGTCCATCCATGTTGTCACAAATTGGATCATTTCATTCTTTTTTATGGCTGAGTAATATTCCATTGTATATATATACCACTTCTTCATCCACTCATCTATTGATGGACACTTAGATTGCTTCCATATCTTTGTTATTGTAAATAGCGCTGCAGTGAACCTAGGGGTGCATAGATCTTTACAAATTAGTGTTTTGGGTTTCATTAGAAGTACAATCGCTGGATTATAGGGTAGTTCTAATTTTAATTTTTTGAGGAATCTCTACATTGTGTTCCACAGTGGCTGCACAAATTCACAATCCCACCAACAATGCACGAGTGTTCCCTTTTCTCCACATCCCCGCCAATACTTGTTTGTTGACTTATTAATGATGGCCATTATGACAGGTGTGAGGTGATATCTCAGTGTGGATATGAGATGCACTTCTCTGGTGACTAGTGACCATGAGCGTCTTTTCATGGGTCTGTTACCAGAATTTGAAGTCATATTCTGGATCTAGAGGCCATGTCTCTGACCACAGAGCCATACAGGTTCTGAGGCAGAACCTGCAACATGCATGTGGATAAACTAGCTCTTCCCAAGCAATGTGATTGACTTGTGGCCAATAAGTGGAGAAAGCCACAGCCAGGCCTTCCAGGCTCTTTCTGTACCTCTCAGCCAGCTGGATACAGAACCCGGACCAACAGCCAACAGACAGTTGAGCAGTCCCCGGGGAGAGGGGCTTGAGATAAAAGGAGCCTCATTCTTGGAGGGAGCCACCCAGGATGGCTGTCCAGTCAGGAAACTGCACAGGTTAAGTAACTGGGAGTGAATTTCCTGTGTGCTAAATCTCTAAGGTTTTTTTTTTTCTCCCTAAGATCTACTTGTTACAGCAGCACGACTTAGCCTGTTATTAATTGCAAAGGGGAAAAAAAAGGTAATTTAATAGTGGAGAAACCTGGCAGATACCACCTTAACAAAGCAATCAAGGTTGACATCACCAGTGATTGGACACATCGACTTGGACCTCTTGCAAGATGCACGGAGAAAGGATTCTTGCCAAAAATACATAACATCAATCTTAGTATAAGAGAACTTCAGACAAGCTCAAATTGAGGGACATTCTGCCAAATAACTAGTCAATGAAAAAAAGACTCCAGAACTATCAGAGGTTGTAGGAGACAGAGGAGACAATTAAATGCAAAGAATTGGATCCTGGACTAGAAAAAAAAGGACATGAGTGAAAATTTGTGAGATGCTAATGAGGTCCGTGAGTTGACCACGTTGTCTCAACACTAATTTCCTGGGCTCAGTAATCGTAGTGTGGTTGTGTAAGATGCAATGGGAAAGGGAGGTGCAAGAGGGGGCACTGAAACTCTGCACTGTTTTTGCAACATTGTGGTCAATCTAAAATTATTTCAAAATAAAAAGCTGAGAGAGAGAGAGAAGAGAGATTATATGTGATGATGAGGGACACCAAATGGCCTTTCTCATGGCTTTGCCCTTGGTACACTGTCAGGAAGCCTAGACGAAGAAGACTCCATTGTTTCACAACTTTACAATTTTTATAAGAGACCACCCCATTCTTGCAAGTCTAGCTCAAGGGCACCTCATTCACCAAGACTGCTCTTCTGTACATGTTGGACTGAATGGTTTTCTTGCCCGCTGGGCATCTGACATGGAGTCAAGGGCTCTGCCTTTGACTATAGGATTTCTGAGAGAAGGAACTGGGGCTCTGTGGCCACATTCCATTCCTTGCAAAGTTATAGGACACCTGGTCATAATGCTGGCACCGACAGCATTATGCCCCTACCTGGGAGGCGGTGAGACTGCTGGCCTTCGGCCACCTCTCAGAACCCTTCTTGGGCCCTATGGTGACCAGGCCTTAGACGGCTTCACTGTAGACCTCTGACCTCAGTCAGGATAATTTGCTGAAGAGCAAGCTTTCAGCACTGGGGGAAGCACAGGGCATTGCGGGGCACAGCTGGGATATCCCAAGTGTGGCATATAAGTCCCTAGAGGGGCAGGGCTTCCAGTCAGGTGAAAAGAGCTGCTTCTCAGAAGCAAGGTGCGCAAGCATCAGGGAGGTGCTCGGGCTTGAAGGTGGAGAGCTGCTGGGTGATGCTGGACAGTGTCTAGAAGGAAGCCCCACCCAGAGCACCCCAGGGCAGACTGGCTAGTGAGTGAACAACACTTTAATAATGAAGAGCAATGTGGCTGTCACAGGGCCCAGTCTAGAGGGCTGCAACTGCCACTTACCGAGAAGTCAAGTAGGGGAGGAGAGGATTCTCAGAGCAGCAACCCCAGCAAGAGGAGGCTGACAAGGCCTGCGTGGGCGAAGGAGACTTTGCACGCAGTGCTGTGGGTAGTGGTCAGGATGAGCTTAGTGGGGATGGACGTTGAGGTGGAGATGGACCTTGAGGTGGAGATGGACGTTGAGGTGGAGATGGACGTTGAGGTGGAGATGGACGTTGAAGTGAGGATGGACGTTGAGGTGGGGATGGACGTTGAGGTGGGGATGGGCGTTGAGGTGGCGCTGTTGTCTATACACTCAAACATTTTGAACCAGACTTTTCCAATCGTCTGGTTTCCAGAAGACAGGAGCTGACAGGTGGACTTATTGATGTTGGAGCAGCCTTTCAGCATGAGCCACTCCGTTTCTGTGGATGCAGATGGAATAGTAAAGCCTCAGCCCTTTGCCCTTTCCACCCAAGTGTTCAGGGACCTATGAGAGCTAAAACGAGCCAGGAGGAAGCAGCTGGCACCCAGAACACACAGGGGTCCCGGCACAGGGTCCATGGAGTCAGACCTGAGCTCATGGGAGTATAGAGCTGGACCCTGGACTCGGATCCCAGTGCTGTCCTACATGGCTGGCAGGTGGCGAAGCCCAAGGACTGCTCAGACCCGCTACAGCCCTCTGCTTCCACCAGGAGGGGTTTGGCTCTGTAGGGTTTGCTTCCCATTCCTACTCCTCACTGGACGCTGTTCTCTGAGCCAGACTTTTGCCAGTATTGAGGGAAGAACAGCCAGAGAGGATGCAGACAGTTCCATGTGTCTACTTAAATGTGAGTCTGCTGTGATAACCAATTCAAATGTGCCATTCCTAGGAAAAGGCTGAAGAATTTGCAAAGAAAATGTGGCTGTGACAGTGGCAACCTTTTACTGAGCATTCACTATATGCCAAAATTGCTCTGTCAGCTGCCAACAGCCCTTGAGGATGGGCGGTTTTCAAAGAAGAAGGGGCAGGAGCAGGTGACTGGCTACTGATCTGAGGCAGGCTAGATCCAAACTTGCACTGAGGAAGAGGGGAAAACTGAAACACATCAGGGAAGAAAGCCACCCACTGTGGATTTACAGTACATGTCAGTGCCGGGAGTTGAGTTACAGTGACTTAGGGAAACATTTTGCTTGGCACATGTCTACAGTATTTTTTTAAAGTGACTTTGGCAAAAACAAACAAAAATCCTACATTTATGGTGACATTGATCTGTCTTGCTTTCAGAATAAGTCAAACACTATGAATTTTAAAAAATCCATCCTTTGCACCAGAAGACACCTGGGAACAACGTGAGCAGAGAGAAGAGGCCCTCCAAGGTCACTGCCACCTCAGACACAGCTTGAGAATTGAGTGTCAGAGTGTGCAGACACTCTGGAGTTTTCCAAAGTAAAAGGATCTTAAAGTGCACAGGACCAAGTGAGAGAAGTCCATCTGAAAAGGCTAATACTGTATGACATTCTGATAAAGTGGGACTCTGGAGACAATGAGAAGGTGAGGGGCTGCCAGAGGTTGGGGATGGACAGACAGAGCACAGAAGTTCCCAGGGTAGTGAGACTGTTCTGGTTGGGGCCACAGTGGTGGGTACCTGTCCTTGCACATTTGCCAAAACCCACAGAAAGTACAACACAAGCGTGAGCTCTGATGTGGAACTATGAACTCTGGGTGGTAATGATGTATGGATTATAACAAATGTACCATTTTGGTGGGGTTGATAGTGGGGCAGTCCATGCATGTGGAGCGGGGGCAGGAGGTATATCGGAATCTTTTCACTTTCCTTTCAATTGCTTTGAACCTACAACTGCTCTAAAAAATAAAGTCTATTTTTTAAAAAGTAAAAAGAAGTTTAAGGTAAGTGTGATGCTTGGCCCAAAGGAGAAGTCTGTGATTTCAATTAAGCATTGATTTCCAATGTCATCATTGCCATTTAACAACTTGAAATCAAACTATGCATGGGTGTTGGTGCTCTGAAACTCATCATTCTGAGCCACGCATGTCATGGCAGAAACTGGCTGACTGTTCATTTAGCCTCAGGCCTCTTCCTTTCCTGTTGGACCACCTGAGGCTGAGCTGCACCCTCCATGCAGTTCAGCCACTAGATAGACATGGGAGGGAGATGTGTTCCCTTCCAGACTGCCTTCCCCACCCCTCTCCAAACGGAAAGACGCCCTGGTCTCTGCAAGGAGCTGGTCCACGTACAGCAGATGAGAAATCGGAAGGTGGTTCCTAAACAGTGATCCACTCTCCCTAACTAATCAGTATTTTACTCTTTAAATGCTCACACATCACATTGGCCTGAATATTTAAAAATTAAAACATTACCTTTTATTTTAATTGTTAATTTCAGTATCATAATGATTAATATCAATTTGCTTTTGTGGAAAAGAACAACTGGTTGGCTATAAAGCCCAGTTTGACTCTTTCTTCCAGATGTCCAAGCTTTCACAAGCCAGCAACTAACTCTCAGTGACAGGTAGCAAAAAAAAATGTATATATAAAAGGAAATGAAAGTCGCACCCGCACACTCTTACACAACAGCAAAACCTGGTAAAGCGGTAAATACCAAGAGGGACTGGTGCATCTAAACGGACCTGGCTTGATTAAAAGTCACAGGAGAGCAGAGTTCAAGTGACAGCAGTCCAGGAGGGTTGGCTCTGGAGGAGAGAGACAGACAGAGCAAGCAGCTTGGGGCTGGTGAACAGCCTCGCTTTCTCACTGGCATTCTGCTCTTACCCTGCACCCTGCTCACCTCCCCAGCCCTTCTTGTTAACCCAAACTTACGGCCAAAGGCTTGATATGGTTCCACTCAAGTTCCATAAAAGGAGCTGGAACTCTAAGACATACCATTAAATTCTGCAACTAGATTGACACAGCGTTCTCCTGGTTGACACTTCCGGAATTTCTCAACACAGGACGTTTCAGCAACACTATAACAGGCAGGGCATTCCATGCTGGGCTCATCTTTCTGTGCAGAAGCTGGGCAGATGAAGAGGCATTACTTCAGAAGAGTGTCACTGCATAGAACATGGCCCTGCCCTGGAGGAAGGCAGGGCAGGCAGAGGCACCCCACAGGTACCCCGGGAGTGTGGCGGCTACATGTGTGGGGGCCTCAGACCCTGCCTGCTGGACATACTCATCCCACGCCCACAGCCCTCCAGTGTTTACTGCCTGGTCCCAGCCATCCACCCCCACAGACCCACTGGTCTCCAAGGACTGTGGTCCACGAGTGTGCTGGTCTCAGGAAGGAAAGGTGAGGTGTGAGCCAAAAGCAAACATGAGCCAGCAGATGTGTGACCGTCACTGAATTCTGCTCTGAGCAAACGCATGCACGCGGTTTTTACCCTTTGACCGGAGACTGAGCTCCGCTCTTGATATACTGTGCTCTGTGACCATTGCCTTTCAGGCCACATTTTCTCCTTTTTAAAATGAGGGGCAACAGTTCTTAAACTGTTGTCTAGGAACCCCTGGGGTCCCCAAGGTGCCTTCAGAGAGTCCCCAAGGTCAACACCATTTTCGTAAGAATACTAAGGTGGCATTTGCCTCTCCCTTTTCCTCCCTCACAGGGCAGTGGGTTCCAGAGGCTGCTGGTGAAATGGCTGCAGACTAAACTCAGAGCAAAGGGACAGCTGTCTTCCCACGCCAGAATCTGAAGGGCTTTGTGAAAGTACTAACAGTGACACTCTTCTCATTGAATGTTTTGAAAATATAGTTCTTTCTATGTAAAAATGTTATTAATGTAGACATGTTTTATAACTTTTTAGTGAACTAATAAAGGTTTTTACTTTAGCTTTAATTTCTAATCCAGTGAACACTGGTAAATATAGTGCACATAAAGAAAAGGTTCTTGGGTTCTCAATAATGTTTAAGATTTTTAAAAGCGGGAAGGCTCCCACAAAGTTTGAGAACCACTGGTGAGCATCTAGTCCCACACACAGCCGGCGGCGCTGCGCTTCCCGCCTCTGCTGAGAAATGGGCAGCACCGCAGCAGTGCTGGCCGCCCCATTTGTTTCTCCAGTACTTGTTATGGTCATCTGTTACCATTATCGAGATGTCACTGACTCCCTGAGCACCAGGGCGAAGGGAGAAGTGGAGTCGAAGAACAGAGGAACCTGTGGCGCTGGCCAGCACCCACCATCACTGGCGTTCTTGCAGGAGTCCCCTTGGCAGCACTCGCTTTCAAAGTGGAAGCGTTCTTCATCGCTCACGTGGACCTCGAAGTCCACCAGCCCATCACTGCAGTTGTACGCGGAGCAGGACTTGTCCTGGTACACCTTGCCTGCACAAACAAGGCTGTGAGCTGCCACTGCCGCAGGCCAAGGCCGCAGCACACTGCTATGTGCTGTGACTTTGGAGACGCTGAGCAGGGCCTCCTGCAAAAATAAAAATCCTCCACCAGGAGGCAGCCCCATCCCTGAGCAGCAAGTCATCAGAGATGACAGGGGGAAGGCTGAGGGTAGCCTGGATGCCCTGGGGCCCACTGCAGTCCTACGTCTCAGAAAACTCAGAAAACAGCAGCACAGACTAGCTGCACCTTCACTGAGCTTGCACCCGCGGGGCCAAGGAGCTTCCGGTCAGCGCCACCACTGCCTGTGCTCTCTGACGTGTGGCCACCAACCACACCGACCACATTCCAAGTGTCAAGAACCGCAGGTGGAGCCATGAAGGACAACTTCCATACAGAAATTCCGGTCACTTAAGAGAGGCCCACGGAACAGCCTGGGCCCAGTTATCAGGAGAAGCCAGGAACAGGTGACAGTGAGATGATGCTACAGAAAGCAATGGACCAATGCCAGACAATGGAACAGCTGCGGGACAAATAGCTCTGCTTTCCCCACAAAGCAATGAGATTGAGCAAAACAGTGGTTGCAAAGGTTATAAAACAAATTAGACACAACATGACGAATAGCAAAACGCAGTGTGAGCATTTTCTTCAGATCCAAATTCCAACACAGCAGCTCTAACATAACATCTTTGAAACAATTGGAACATTTTTCAGGCACCCTGGGTATTGGAAGAAATTAAAGAATTACGAGTAATTTTCTTAGGTTTGATAATGGTATAGTCGTTATGTAAAAAGAAAAAGTTCTTATCAGAGATGAATATTTATGAGAGAATGCCGCTAGGTTTGCTTTAAAATAGTATGGGAAAAAATAGCAAAATGTAGATAATTACTGACACGGGATGGTGGCTGCATGGGCAGTTTATTGTACTCTTCTTCCTGCTTTTGTGTATGTTTCAAAATGTATATGCCGAAAGTTAAAAAGAAACCTGAGTGTTCTGAGAGGAAATGATCATGCCAGAGCTTGCGCCCTGGGACAGGGTCTGAGTGGACCAGGTGGGATGGGGGGCAGGAAGGGCATGGAGGACGTCCGGGATGGGGGAACCCAGCACTGAGCCTATGGCCTGCACTGGAGTTTAACCAGGAGATGTCCCTGCTTCTCACACCTACTGACATAAGTCTAACAGGTGTCTATCCGGGGCAATTATTTCAAGGAGCCACAGAGCACGTGTCTGCCTGGCTCTGCCTCTCACCCTATCTGGCTCCCATGTCTTCCCCAGGGTGGCCTTTGTGACCCTTCTGTCCTTGCATGGCCCTCTTTTCCTCCTGCCCAGTACAAGTCCCAGACATAGGTGGATAACACTCCCACACTCACCCAGTGATGCGTTAATCAGGAAACTGCTACAGCTGACGCTGGCATTTAAGGGACACTCAGTGACGTTGTGGTTGGCACAGGAGTTCTCCAGGGAGTTACACTGCACACAGCTCAGACCTTCTGGGGAGACAAGATATCCAGACTCATCAACATTCATTCAAGAGTGACTTGTGCCCACCTTAAGGGAGGAGAGTAGCATGGATGGCTCCCTTTCCCTCTGGGCCCCCCAAACTTGAGGCTGTGAGATGGTGCCAACCCATCATTTCTCCCCACTGTCCACAGACCTTGATTCATAGCCCAGAACAACTCCACTGAGGTCCTGCTCACAGAGGGGTCTCCTGCTGTGCCCTGACCACACCTTGACATAGGAGGTCCCAGAGCACCAGGAGGAGAAAACTGATGCCGTGGAAAACAGGGCCTTTATCCCAAAAGGCAGCCACACAGTTTCCCCTCACCTGCAGACACCACTGTGAGTGCTGCCAGGACACCAGCCAGGAGGATGCCTTTCATGGTGCTGGAGATGACGTCTCTGAGGATACGGACGGTGGCCACAGCACCTAAGCCTGCAGAGACACAGTGAAGGCAGCCTCAGGATATCATCACACCTGAACAAGCCTGGCACACAGCCTGTCCCTGTGACACATTTGGCCTCAGCTGGGGACAGAGCCGTGCTGCACAGTCCACTGGCCCTCACTCCAGGCCAGTCTGCATTCCCCAGTTCCAGCAGTCCACAGACATGCCCCTGCAGAGCACTGAAACACAACTGGGCTTTTCTGCAGAGACACTGGCAGCGGGGCTCCAGGAAATGGGCTAAGCTCTCCCATCCAGCATGATGCCCATCCCTCAGTGCCCTCTGACATGTTCACAGTGCACACTTAGGGGCTGTAGCCACCACCCCAGTAGTCTGCTGAGGACTTACTGTGTCCTACACACTCCACACACACCAACTCGTGTAACCCCTCCACCCAGCAGACAGGTACCACTACTAGCGTCACCCTTGTCTCATAGGGAAACAAGTCCCAGAAAGGCCAAGTCACACACTCAAGGTATAGGGCACACTCTTGGGAGGTGTCAGAGCTGCAGTGGGCCCAGGTCCCCACCACCACCCCACACGGCCTCCGACGGAGGTGGCGCCTAGAACCGGCCTACAGGACTGAATCAGAATGGTGTCAGCCCTGGTTGCAATGTCATCACTGCCGCATCCATGCACATAAGGAGCTGCCAGTGCTGAGCCCTTCCGCATCCACCACCGATTCACCATAAACGGCAACCGGAACTGAGGCTGCTGAGGTTCAGCTCTACTGACTTTGGACAAAAGGGGACTTGCTGAGTGTCAGTCCCCAGCCATATCCCAAAATGCAGCTGCCATATGGGACTAGTGGCTGCTGGGGCAGCCAGCACGAGTTCAGAACAGTCCCTGCCTTGTTGACAGTCCAGGCTACAAGCTGCAATAAATGTGGCTGCCCATCTGCAGGGACAAGCCTGCAGACGAAGCATTGATGGGAACATCCACGCTAACCCAGCTCCAAATGTCTTTCCAAGGGGTAGGACCTTCACCTGGGAGCTGCCTGCCACCTCCCACTGCACCCCCCCACACACATACCACACAGCACATCACACATACATGCACACAAATGCATACACACCACACACCATGTATAACACACACTCACACACATTGCACACAAATACCACACACCACAGAACACATCACACACAGCACACACACACCATGTATAACACACACATGTACACGCACAGCACATCACATACTCACATACAACCTACACACACCACAGATACACTTACACTCACTACGCACCATACATACCCCACACACATCATAGGTAAAACAGACATACACACACTTCTCTGCACCATGATCCCCTGACCGACTTATCAGGGGTCTGTGAAAAGGAAGGGAAGCTGGTGCAATCACAGGGAGCGTTGACACGTCTGCTACCTGAGGGACTTGCCATCTAGCGATCCAAGGGGAGTCCCCTACTGGATTGGATCAGGGGCAGGCGTTCTGTGCTCTGCAGCCTGTGCCCCACACCAGTCACCCTTCCTGGCCAGAGCCGCAGCGGGGAGATGGGTTCAGGGGTCAGGCCTCCTAGAAGGGCCTCTCCATCTTGAGTGAGAAAGAAGAAAGGGTGAGAATAGAGGCCACGGCAGCCACATCGGACACGTGTACAAGTTGCCTCAGTTGCTGGTGTGAACCAATGACTAGCCCATTTTCGGAGGGAAATAATGGAGGCCCAGAGAGGTGAGGACCTGGCCCAGGGACACACAGCAGAAAGGCAGAGCCTGAAGGTGGTGAGACCCAGGGCCCTGCTGGCCACCTGCCACTGTGTAGAGAGAGGGAGTGGCCCTGGGCCAGGGGGTGGGGGCAGGGAGTAGGGGAGGACAGGGGGAACTGACAGCCCTAATAAAGTGCTTTCCTCCATCCTGTCCTCTCCTCTCATGTGTCCTCACTCAAAAAAGCCAACAGTCAGACAGAGGGGCTTAAGGATCACACTACGCCTCACAGGTGAAGAGCAGCCCAACTGCCCTGAACTCCAACCCACCCTGTTTCCTCACAGCCCTGCAGCCCAGCCCCAGTCCTCACCTGTGGTCTGGTCCAGAGAAGGCCCTGCAGAAGGAAACCTCCAGGAGGTTGTAGCAAGTATGCGAGGGGCCTTATATAGCAGGTACTGCTCAGTCAGAAAGCTTGCTGCCTGAGGGAGGGGCTTCAAGCAAGGAGGGGCCCTGCCCAAAGCAGGGCACAGGCAGCTTAACCTTTTGGGAGGAGGGCACTGGTCCAGCTGTCTGAGGCCACCCGTAATCTGGAACAAACTCAGTCAAAGTTCACCTGTGGCAAAATGTGTACGGAAGCAAGGTGTGTCCCCACATCACCTCGTGCTGGCTGTGGCCCACTGAATGGACCCCGATCCCTGCTAATTAGTCACAAGCATCGCCTTACACTGACCTGGTGAAGCAGTCACCTTCATTAGCCATTTACAGTTGAAGAACCAAGGCTGGAAGCAGCATGTTAGAGACTTGCCCAGGGTCTCACACCTGGGCTGGGTCAGTACTAAGACTCAGGCCACATGAAGTCCGCACGGCTCAGGAAAAGGGCTCAGCCACTGGGACAAGTGTCAACCTCACTCAGTCTCGGGGTCTTCCAGCCCAGACAAGGGTGAAGTGTTGTGAAGCTGCACGGGGTACAGGGATGTGAAGCCCCCACCCGCACCTCAGTGAAGAGCCCATGGCCAGCACTGCTGCCACTGCACATTTTCCAGGCCGTCCATCTGGCCCAGCCATCTGGGCAGCCCCTGTAGGAAAGAGCCCAGGTCGGCCCAGGCCTGTGCAGCCCCTCACGCCGCCCATGGTGCTCCCAGCTCTGAGCGTGGACCTGAGTGCCCCACCCTCCTCCTTTTTCTGCTGTCCTTGCCACCACACACACACACCACTCACACAGGGGGACAGGTTGGGAAGGGACCAGGGATGCAACACCACCAGCTTGCAACTAAATCTTGAGGTTCTCTGCTCTGAAAGTACAACTTGTCCACTTGCAGCCCACTCAGGCCTGGCCTGGGGCTCAACTCTTCCTCTCTCCCCTAAACTCATGCCTTTATTCAGCAAACACTGTAAGAGCACTCGCCATGGATGGGGCCTGCCCCTGGCATTTGGGAGGTTTCTGAGCAGAGTCAGACTTTGCCCTCCTGGAGTGGAGTCTAGAGGGACAGAGCACACCAATGAAGTGACAAGCAAGCTAACTACAGGGCGCATTAAGATGCAACAACTGCTCTGGCAAAACAGCGAAAACCAGGTGAGGGTTGACTGCGTGGGTGCAGGATTCAGTCTTGAACAGGGAGGTCTGTTCTGTTCTTGTCTCATGGAGAAGGTGAAATTGGGGCCATTTTCGTGAGCAGAACCTCTATCAACTTCTGTCTCCTCTCTTCCTCTCTATTCTCGGAGAGTTATTCCCTGAACACAGGCAGCTCCCCTGTCTGGCTTCAGTGCTGCCACTGGACAGGACCTGGTGGGGGTGCAGGAGCAACCACCATGGGTGTGGGTGAGAGGGATCCCCTGTCCACGCCTCCCACAGCCGATGTGCTGCCTTTGAGAGTAATGTAGGGAGGAGGAAAGATAATTAAAAATGTTAATCAAGCCACATTCAGAGACTGCAAGGTGCTGACCAGCCCCGCAGCAAGGCCAAGAGGACACCTTCAGAACAAAGGAAGATTTCTGCTGGAATACTAATGATCCATTCTCCACACCTGTGAAGGGGAACTAGGAACCAAGAGTCATTCTACATGGCTAAAACCATGGGGAACTTAAGGATTAAAGGCTGGGAACTGCTGCAAGCCTTTCACTCCACATATTTTTACCTTTTCATGCTACATACTCTTCCTCTTCCTCATTGTATGTCCATATCAAAGAGTTAACAAATTAAACAATAACTCACAGGAATTAATTAATTCCCTGAATACTCAGGGTCCCTCTCAGTGCCTTTACTCTGTCTCTCTCTCACTGACTCTCCTCTCTTCCCTCTCACTCTCTGCCTCTGAGAGGAGACCACTCTGTCTGTGGACTGTTATCCCTTTTCTAATAAACTTTCCTTTTGACTAAGTTTGGCATGTGTGTTGAGTTCTTTTATCACTCTCCACCAAAGGACCCTCTTCTTCTCTCAGTACAGGGCTTGGTCTTCCCCTGACTTGGTGAAATTTGCCCTGTCCTGCATCGCCCTGGCTCTAATTATGTGTGTTCCATAACATGTAAAATTTAGGTGTTATTTAAGACTATGATTTAAGGTTTTGTACAGATTATATAAATACTGTGAACACTGAGCCGTTAAACTCATCACAACTCTCAAAAGTGTTCTTCAACATCAACTATAATTTCTCACAGTCCTCAACTTACTTCAGGAACTAAGGTAATTTTGATACTGAAGGAGTTTTGT